TATCACAATATAATATAGCGTTATAACGGTCTGTTATATTTTTTGAATCATAACATATTTTAATCAAGTTAAAACATTGATTATAATCTATCCTCATCTGATTACATGTGGAATTATCTAATACTGGTCCATAAGTTGAATCACAGACCATGTCTGGATAATATTTATATTGCACTAGAGGGTTTACAAAACCATTTCCAATCAAGATAGATTCAAGATTTATATGAATAAGATTCTTTTTAGTATAATAGTCATTGTTGTAATTATTTATATCTGAGGCTATAGCGGGTATATAATGTCCTGAATACCTGTTAATAATATATACAAACAATTTTTTAGTTATTTTGTAATTTTGCTAGACAATATCAACAATATTAAACAATGTTAAAAAGATAAACAATGCTTACGATTCACCAGCAATATGGAAATCTAAATCAGTATATTTAGGAAACTCTTGAAAAAATATTTGTAAGAACGCGTATACATCAAGTGCAGCGACTAAAGTATTAGATACATCATCTGATGCATTGTCACCATAAGAATATCCAGTATAAGTTGGCTATATAAAGATAAATTTATATTGCAGTTTGTATTATTGATAATAATATAAAATGCATCATATTAAAAATAGCGAAAAGAAAACATTTTTTTCATACTTGATCCAAGAAAATAATACTAGAATTGTTAATCCATGAGTAAGGATTAAAAGTTGTACTATTTCCTCCTGGGTTAATAGAACAAGGTCCAAGTTCATAGTATAAGCCATTTAGTGAGGAACATCTATTATGTATAATCAAAAAAATATTAATTAACTGTTAATGTTGAAATAACAGTATAGGATGTATGCGTAACTCGGGTCAGTTGACAGAGTCTAATGTTATTTAGGGCATGAAGTGTGATTTCATATGATCACTTGGTCACAAGAACGTGATTCATACGAAAATGATTAGTTACATGCTTATAAGCTCTCTAATTATAAAATAGAATAAAATAGCTATAATGTCTGGCAAACGGTTTTCTATGGGAATTGCATTAAGTAAATAACGAATACAATTGATATGGTGTCAATACGGGGTCATCGCGTTAACACCACACCCATTGCTTATGCACAATCATTTTATTATCACATTGTCCGCAATTCCTACTGTCACCATTAATTTAATTCAGATAGATCTTATCACTAAAATAAGATTTTGAGAAATATACATCCTTTATGTTGGTATAATAAAGTTATAAAAAGTATCATACCCTGGACCACCATTAAGCTATTTTTAATAAATTTAAAAGTTATAATTAATGATTTAACAAATTGAGACGTTATAAATACAGCATTTACATACCCAAAGAACGATCGGATCTTTATGAGGTTTATTTCTCGATTCGAAAAACCAAAAGAATAAATGTTTAGTATTATTAACTTCAAGATATCCTGAATACTAAATATTCAAAAATTTAGCATAAAATAAATATCAAAAATCCACTATTCTAAATAAATAATTCATAAACCTGTTGAACGGTTGGATCACAAAGACGTGGTTCTTTCAATTTAATTTGATACTCGGCATAAGCATTATGCGTTAATATTCTTGTCCATTGAGCCGAAGCCCAATGACATAATAACAATACACCGAGAACAAGGAATATAACTCTAAACTTAGAGCGCGTTAAAATAACCATATTTTCTTATAATAGAGTATTATTAAAGAAAATTCGTATTTTTAAAAAGCACACCTATCGCATCATTGGTTCTATTTATAATAACTCTCAAGTCATTCATAACATTTATTACAGTGTATAATTCCTAATCCTACCCAAGATTATTCATTAATCCTGTGATTTGATAGCGTCGAGAGATTTACATAGTGGATTGTAATATCGATATGTGCCTAAATTAGTAAGATATTACTGGTTATAGACAAAATTCCGTACGGATTCACTGACGTATATCAATTTCTATCGATTTAAAGATAACTCGGTCCATTTCTTAACAAAGGATTATTATTAAATGTATTGATGCTACAGTAATGATTACGTATTATGGTAAATAAAATATAGGACACATGTTGTTTGTTCTGTTAGTATTTATAGTTATGAATTTCTAAATTTATACATCAGAGTCGTCATTTAGATTAAAAATTAATCTAATCTTGAAAAAAATTTAAAATTATAATTTAGTATGATATGCGCAGTATACAGTATATTAATTTTTATTTTTTATTTTTTATTTTTTTTATGTAATACGTATCTAAAAAATTAGAAATACAATACATAGCACTGTCTTCTTCTAAATAAATTTTCTTAACTGAAAATTAAAATTAACAAATCAGAGGCAATATTATCAGTTTCAGTCGAATTTTAGCATCAGACGTCAATGTTTTAAAAAAGTTTTAAAACAATAAAAAAAAAAGATTAAAAAACAGTTTAAACCATCCCTAATCGTAGATAAATGTTATAAAGAAAAATGAAATTTCGGGTTTCCAATTTTACCATTTATTATCTATCAGATTTGGTACTTTAAAATTATGATAATTTATTAGTGTCTAGAATCACTACAGAGTTTTCGCCTCTTTGCCAATCAAAATCATCTCCGGCAGCCTCTGCGTAATATCTTGCGTGTTGATGAGTATCAATGGTTCCTTTATTATTTTATCAGTGTTCATTTTCGTCATTACTCAATTAATAAATATTTGTGTTAAAAATAATCCAAATAAGTTTGCTATTTACTAAGTTTAGTTTCAATATTTTAATAGTAGGGCGCTTTTTCAGACTGTGATACATACATTGATTTGTCATTACGATTTCGCAATCAAGTTTCGAGAAGCATATTCTGGTCGCAATCTGTGTAAATGATATTAAGTGTGAAATTTTATCATGTTGTTCCCTATAAAAAAGGTTTTGTCATTTCCGCCACAATAACTCCAAAATTATAAATATTTGTGGATTGCGTAAACTTTTGACCAGATAAAAGCTTCTGGTACAACATATGGCAAAATTCTGTAAATAACACAAATATTTTCATAATATTTTGGATAATCCAAAATTTGTGACTAATATTTTTGCATCTATAATAACGCTATCTGATTTTAGCAAGAAATATGAATATATTCGATACGTGAATTTCTTTAACTCTTAAAAATATGCATAGACTTACGATGTCATGTAATCATTATTAATTAATAATCATAATAATTGCATTAAGATTGACAGAAGTTACAATCGGTGGCAATTGAAAAATAACGTGTGTCGACTTATAATTGACAAATTTTGTGATCAACGCAGAACATTAAAACGTCTATCAAATATTAACTGCTGCAAAACTTTTTATGACCGTGATCTCGGCAATCACTCAATCAAATTCGATAAATTTTTTTATTCGAATTCTACTGGATTGTATAATTCAAATAAAGATTTATAGAATTTGGTGAGGTGATTGCACAAATACTTTTAATCAAAATTTTAAAAAATTGATTTATATGGGTGTGGAAATATTCGTTCCTTAAAAATAATACGTAAAATTATAGATTGAGTTTTTCTAAATTTTTCTTTGCATTTAATAACTAGCTAAATTCATTTATTGATTAATGGAGTTTATATAATTAATTAAATTTACGAAAATCTACTACTATAAATATCTTTTGAATTCTATCCTGTTTTCAGTGAGAATAAGTTAATGATCAACGTATCAATAAGTATTCAAGCTTCTGGCATTTATCTCTAATAAAAAAAGGATTTGCAAAAATTGGCATAAGCAGCTAAAAAAAAGTTGAATCAAACCATTCTTCCACATTTTATGCTTACATTCAACATGATTATACAAATAAATATATTACTATATATTGATATTTCATATTGATATGGCAAATTACAAAATCTATATCAACATAGAACTAATACTAAAACTTCTCTTTGTTCATTATTAGTTTTCTACCTAAATTTACAAATGCGCTTTTTCATATTTTATTACAAAACAGATGAATTAGAATCATTTCCAGATTTAACCTGCTGTATACCATATGACTATGCAACATGATTAAAACTTGATATTGCAACGATGTAATATAATCAATGTTGCTAGTTCTGATCCGAAAACACTTATTTCTGCCAAAAAAGGAAGCAACCAATCAATAAAATTCATTTTAACTTTAGACGAAGATTTCTCGACAGCCTACTATCCAAATTTGATAAAATTTTTTATTTAATTCTAGGTTTACAGAATGAAAATAAAAAATTTAAATAATTAGTCAAGAAATCTTCATACAAGGTAAGAAAAATTTTGGCCACAGCTTTTTTTTTTTTTATAGGTGCTAAATTTTGAACAAATATTATTAACACTAGGGATGGGTCCACTTGGTTATAGTTAGTTATTATCAGCTAGTCACTCATAATCGACTAATCCGTGGTCTGTCGTAGATAGCTATAGCTAGGGTTGCACCGGTCTGGTCCTTAGCAGGACTGATTACATAGTGGTAGCAGTCTGGTCCGGTCGGTCCTTCAGTCCCTCAATGGTTCTTTGTAACACAAGATGTAATTGGTCAATTTTTTATATTAACATTAACTGTTAATAAAGATAACCCTTATTCATTAATTTCCACAATAAAGTAATATATAGTTATTGAATGCGTAGCAGACAATAACGAGAATTATTAGTAAAATAATTCATTAGGAGTTATTGGCTAGCGTAGCATACAATAACGGTTTTATCCGATGGCTTATGACGATTGTGCTTCTAAATGACTCGAGTT